CCTGCTCCGGGTCAGAAGTCCTTAGAGTGAGTTCCAGCTTCTCCCTGCTCCAGACCAGTCTCGGAGTAACGTAGAATGGTGCCCCAAGAGGAATCCCTATCCCAGCAGGCATGTGGTGGTAGGAGGGCCTTCCTGTGCAGAGTGTGCACTGCACACCCGAGGGTGTTGTTTACTCTGGGGGCTAGTGCACAGCGCCGGGGAAACCTCCCCACAGGGACAAGGCTGACTGAAAGCCTCCAAACACCGCTGCCTTTGCTGACTGGGGTAGAGTAGGTGTCGCCCAAGGCTTTTTCAAACGTGCTTTCTAGGTTTCAGCAGAGGCGCTTGAAATGACTTCAGCTCCGTGTTACTTTTGGAAGGGGTTGCAGGGGTCTGGTGTAGGAGGGGAACCCCTGGTAAGACTTGAAAGTGAGAGGAAGATCTGGATCTGGAGCGGTAGGAGTTTCCTCTCGTCAGCGGTGCTGTCAGATGCCTGTCACTGTGGCACATTACTCATGGGTGTGAATGCACCCCTCCCTCCCTCCCTCCCTCCTTCCCCTCCTTCCCCTTTCCTCCATCTCTCCTGCTTCCCTCCCTTCCCCCCTCCCCCTCTCTCTCTCCCTCCCTCTCTCCTTCCTTTCCTCCCTTCCTCCCCTTTCCTCCATCACTCCTTGCTTCTCCCCCTTGCCCCCTCCCTTCCCCCCTCCTCCCTCTCTCCCTCCCTCCCTCCCTTCTGTCCATGCCCCAGGAAACAGCCTGTGGAGCAAGAATCAAAACTTTAAGCTTTTATGAATTTGATCGTGGTGTCATGTTAGTATTTTTTTAACTGACCTGACCTAGAGGTTTATAGAATTTTTTGGTCATTATAAAGTCCAGAAGGTTCCTCAGGAAGGTTTTCTGTGCCTCTCACGTTCCTACCTTTCCAGCCGAGCACGCCGCCAGCACAGCAGAGTAGAAGTGAGGGAGTCCCATTGGGTGTGGGGTGTGGCACCGTCTGGAGCACAGAAAACAGCCCTTCCCCAGTGACGTGGACCCTGGCCGGGTAACAGCACACGATTCCCTTTCTAGCTCTTCTAGGTCAGGCAGGGAGAGAGAGCCTAGGCCAGTGGTCGGCAAACTCGTTAGTCAACAGAGCCAAATACCAACAGTGCAACGATTGAAATTTCTTTTGAGAGCCAAATTTTTTAAACTTAAACTATATAGGTAGGTACGTTGTTATTAACTTAATTAGGGTACTCCTAAGCTGGCCTTTGCTAAAAACGTCCTCAATCTGATTGAGGTACGTTCGCTGAGGTCGACCCCTTCCAACTCTCCCATCCACACTCGTCTTGTATACTTGTTTCGTCTATCTCCTTGAAAACCGACTTCTGCGCATGGGCCACAAAGTTTCAATCGCACTGTACGTGCGCGCCCACAGGTGGTATTTTGTGGAAGAGCCACACTCAAAAGGGGCCAAAGAGCCACATGTGGCTTGCAAGCCGCAGTTTGCCGACCACTGGCCTAGGCCGTGTGCTCGTCTGGCATTTCTTCCCCCTCACCACCATATTTTAGGCCTTAAAAAAAAAAGATGATGGGGGAGACGCAGCTCCCTCTTCACTAAATAGTGTTTGTTCATTTCCTCACGCCCCCTCCTTTAAAAGTCTTTAGTCTGAATGGCTGTTTCCTCCGTCGTGGGACAGCTCAGTCTCTGTCCTAAATGGACAGCTTCCCATGGGCAGTGGCATTTTCAGCTGCCTCTTAGAATAGCTTGTGAGAGATCAGAAATGGGGGGGGACCTCGTATTAAAGATGACTGGGGAGCCCTGGGGCCTGTGCTGCGGCCACCGCCCAGCCCAGGCTCCTAACTGAACGGAACTCCTGCCTATCCCAAGGTGGCCAGGCGGCACTTGGTTCCTTACGTAGGACAGGCACACGATGAAGACGGCGTCTGAGGCCCGAGAAGGCACACGAACCCCTTCCTCCTCCCCCTCCTCCCTTCTTTCCATCCTCCCTCCCTCCCTGCCTTTCTTCTCCCCTCCCTCTCTTCCATTGTATGTCTAGGAACATAAAATGTTCCCAATGGAAACGCTGAACTGAAGGCCAAGACAAATCCCCAAGTGGTACAGGCCCCACGATCTGAGGGAAGAGGGGCTTTCTCTAGGACGGTGGGCGGTCAGCCCTGAGGTGCAGCCAAAACTCGGTGGCCTCTCCACCCCGAGTTTCTCCTCGCAGCCCTGGTGCATGCTCAGGTTTTCTGCCCGTCACTGCTCATTTCTCCTCCGAGCTTGACGTCGACACGCCACGGGAACCTTTGGGCGAAGGTAGTTTTTAGATATTCAGAACATGGAGATGCGAGGCCAGGCCTTTTGTTGGTGACATTTTCCGTCCACCAGGCAGGGAGCCCCTGGGCAGGACTGGCACTAATGCGGAGAGGCAGGAGTTTCAGGTCTGGAAGGAGGCAGTCACCTCTACAGAACTCCTCCTGTTCCCACCCACACCCACGGCCACGCGTGCACCGTCAGGGTCTCAGGGAGGATCAGGTTGGAGGATGTGAGCGGCACTGTGCAGGGCGTTGCCCATAATCAATCACAAACCTTCCTCAGAGGCCCGGCATTCAGTATATTGGCAGGATAGCTCAGTGGGTCAGGGCGGTGGAACCAGGACCCCTGAGTTCCCATCCTGGCCCCCCCATTGACTGGCTTTGTGATCTCAGAAGGTTACGGAACCCCTCTGTGCCTCAGTTTCCTTATCTGTAAGATGGGAATGGTGACAGTACCTGTGGTCTAGGACTGAGTGAGGATAAATGAGTCAATAGACATGGCATGCTTAGACTCATGGCTGGCTGTAGTCTGTGCTCAGTGAACATTAGCTGTTACTGTTAGGAGTTTTATTGTGATATAGCGGGGGAATGGCGACAATGTCCCCTGTTTGTGAATGTCCACTCAGCAGTTTTAGAAGGAACTCAGATGACTTCTGGTTCTGTTTCGCCTTTTTAAATTCCCTCTTCTGTCCTCTCAAACCAAGGCTTACACTACAGCTCTGGAAAACCCCTGCTTCAGCTTTTAAATTTTGATTCGGAATGAGGACCTTTTGACCTTGATAAGAGGTTCGGATGAGCAGGAGGCTCTGTGTCCCCACAGCCATCTCAACATTCATTTGAGCTGCGGAGCTAGGCTCATGGGCCCTTCTAGCCCAGTTTGTCCACACCCCCTGTCCCTCCCTCATCCTTTTATGGAATCAGGGGCGCCGGGTCAGGTTTGAGGAGGGACATGGTGTGTGGGAAAGAGGTCTCCTTTACCCCATCAATTCCTTCTCTTCTCCTGTGGGGCAGGCGTCCTGCCGGCTGGGACATAGTTCCTTTGGGCATTAGGGTTAAAGCAGGTGGGGGTTGTAGCTGGTGTGGATGGAGAGGAGCAAGCAGTCTGCTCCCCTCCTCCTGCCTCCTTTCCAGGGGAGCCCCAACACCCCCCTCCCACCTGTTACTCGAAATAATTCCCTGTGTTTTATCTGTTTGTCTAGGGGAAGAAGAAGAAGAGGAAAAGGGACAAGCAGCCCGGGGAGACCAATGGTAAGTTAGAATAATGCGGATGCAGGGAGGAGCGGCACCCTTCAGGACCACTCTGTTATGTTAGGCTTGGCGGGGGGTGGGTGGTGGGGGGCGGGGAGGCAGTAGAAGCTCAAGGCCAGGACGTTGTAGGGGGGACCCATCTTAGCCAGCCTTTTTGTTTATGCATTTTAATTAATTGCTTCATGACTGCCCTTTTAAAGCTAGTAACATTTATTGTTGCATGAAAAGCACATTGTAATTCTAGTGGAATGTGTTTGGAAATAACTATAGAGCCTGTAACTGGAGAGCAGTAGGCATGCCTATGCGGGTTTACACAGTCTGTTTACTCCGTATGTGTCCGAGCAGGGCTGGGGAGGGGCTAGGGGAGTAGGAGGGGAGTGTGTGAGTGTTTGATATTAACTGGGCTGTTCCTGAATGTTCCGATGCATGCCTTTACAGTGGTAAATTGCACCCGACTTAAATTAAGGAGGTTTGTCATTCTCTAGAAGAAATTAGAAATACTGCATAGGCAATCTCAGGTCCCTTGGAGAAGGCCAGGCTTTTACGAACAACAAAAACATTTTGAAGGCTTTGTATAATTTGTTCTTTTTTTTCAGAACACAGCGAATGTTTCCTAAATCCTTGCCTTTCACTTCCTCCGATTACAGGTGCTAATGTCATTTTGAGTCGTTAAAATAGTTGCTTAAACTGTTTTTTAATTTTTCTTGCCATTATAGTTTGATTAACATTAAACACGTATGACATTTGAACATTCTTTAAAATGACCATCTACTCGGTTTTGTATGTTTCAGTAGAGTATTTTTTTTTCAGTTGCTTTTGTTTTCTTTTTCTTTTTTTTATTTAATTTAACTTTTGCTTTGTTTATTTATTTTTCCCATAACAGTTGTTTAAGCAGTAATGACAGTGATCTAGAGTTGAACTAACTGTGCAAATTGAATATGCAGTATTTCTTTAAAAGAGACTGGTTTAAAAAAAAATGGAAGGAATTCAGTAATAAACCTCCTTAATCTAATGGCATTTTTTTTCATTGCTCCCACTAAGTTTTCTCATGCAAGCATGCATCTGCAGTATGATTATTTTTTTCCTTCGCTTTTTTTAAATTTTAGTTTTTTTCTTCCTTTTGCTTTTCTGCTCATACTTTGCAAGCCCACTAGCATTTTACTGACTGTACCTGCTTAAATGCTGCTATGAGCTTCTCACTAACTCCTAACAGCTCATTTACATAGCCTGTGTACCTTTATCTGTTCCTCTCTTAATATTAATGAGCATAGATTAAAAAAGAAAAGATGAACATTCCAAAAGCTGCAATATCCCAGTACCACAATCTTTTTCTTTCTTTATTTCTTTCTGTTTCATTTCATTTTGTTCTGTTTTTATTTGCAGTATTTTTCTTTTTTTTTTATACTGTTATACTCTGAGAAGAAAAAAGCATGTTACAAACTTAATTCCCTCCTTTGCTTTATTTTCTTCTTTAAGAAAAACAAATTGAGAGAAAAAACAACAAAAGTGGAAACGTATTATTTGAAAGCTACGTATTTAGTACCTAACCTCCCTGTATCAGCTTGAACCGAATCTGAGACAGTCCTTAATGAAGGGATACTGCAGCTTTATTTGCAACAGCTAATTTCACAAGTTGAATAAGAATGTGATTTTTTTTTTACCTTTTTTTATGATTAAAGAAAGTTAAAAATCGAAAGTCGATATTTTGTAATTAGTAACCAGGTCATTGATTTATTCCCTTTTTTATTTTTATTTTTTTCTTATTTGTATCTTTCTCTTTTCCCCTCCCTCCCCCCCTCTCTCTCTTTCTCTCTCTCTCTCTCCCTCTCCCTCTCCCTCTCTCCCATGTTCTCCTCCTCTGCTCGCTTCTCTCTTGAACTCATTCAGACCTGAGCGCTCCTAAGAAATGCCGAGCGCGCTTTGGCCTTGATCAACAGAATAACTGGTGCGGCCCTTGCAGGTGTGTATAGATTTCCCAGATTCGCTGTGCTGGTTTGCAGCTGGTCTATTCGGTCCTTTCCCCCTCTCTGGCCTGTCGCTTTGTAGCTCTGTGTGTGGATCTTAGGAGACACGAGGGCGCGGGACACTGCTCTGTGAGGGATGTGCTTGTTCCCCCGCTGCTGCTAGCCAAAATGCCACTGTAAAACAGCATCCCTTGTGCCTCCTCGGGTCAGCGACAGCAAACCCCAGCACGCCCCTCCCAGGGAACGTTGCCTGCCAACCCCCTTGCTCATGACAGCCCGGGACGGGGCTCAGGGACATCCACCGTAACCCTGGCCTAGGTAGACGCCAACAACGTCGCCTTTCCCCCTCCTCTTCTCTCTCTGTTTTTATTTTTTTTCCCCTTGTTTTTTTGTTTTTGTTTTTGTTTTTTTTTGGTTTCTGGTTGTTGTTTTCTTTTGTGTGTGTGTGTGTATGTGTGTGTGTTTTATCGTTTTATTTTATTTTTTTCTTTTGACTCATAGAAGTCCTTCCCTTTCATGCCCTTGGTGAGGGAAGGAGTGAGTAGAGCCGAGGTGATGATGCGGAAGACAGGTCAGCTGTAGCTGAGCGTCCACACGCAGCTGAGCACGACCCACCATTGTGTTGTGTTTTTTTTGTGTTTACCTTATGCTAACAGATGCAAATACTCCAAAGAAGTGTCGGGCACTGTTCGGGCTTGACCGACAGACTTTATGGTGCAAACCGTGCAGGTATATGACCACTGCGAGGCCTTTGGGAAAATCAAAGCAATTCTGTCCTCTGATACCTTAGTGTGTCAATATATCTGGACCCCGTCCCCGTCTACCTTGCACTGGCATCCATGACTAATGATCCTCACTCTTCCAAATTCCCTTGCTAATTTTCCGCTCTCCCCACTGTCTCTTCCTCTCTTTCCCCCATCCTCTTCCAAATAACACGTGACCCCGGTGGTAGGGCCTAGACAGCAACCCCAACAGACCAGGACAGGCACTTGCCCTTTTGCTCTGAAAGCCAGCCTCCTGGAACTGGCCCAGCCCGGGAATGCTCCCGTGGCCCGAACGCCGGGTGCAGAGGGAGCTGGAATTGGCAGCAGTAGCATTTCCGAGCACTCGGAGTCGGGGCACTTGGAGATGTGCTCTGGGGCAGGCTTTTTTTTTTTTTTTTTTGGTTTGGTTTTGTTGTTTTGTTTTATGTTAAAAACCCACATCTGTGTGCAGAGGAGCTTGGCTAGCTGACATTGTTTTACAGTGCTGCAAAGAAGCGTGGCATTGATCGGCAGGCACCAGCTAACAGGGCTGCACGAGGGAGCCCCGCAGGCCCACGCTCTGGTGCTGCTGGCCTGCGGGGCGAACAACACACACATCTCTGTTAGAGAGAGAGAGAGAAGGAGAGAGAGAGCACACGTTGGTTCCAAAAGGAATCAGAAGCGTCCCGATTCAACCCCGGGTTCCACCCACAGGCTCCCATCCAACCTGTAACCTCAGGGAAGGGATAGGTACTTCCTTCTTGGTGGAGGGATACCGACTAGTGCCTGTCTCCTTTCCTTTCCTTCAATGACCACCTTGGTTAAATTTGTTGTTTCTTTGTTCTGATACAAGCAGTCTTTGAATTTGGAATATTATGATGGTAGGTATCTCAACACCCAAACACGCCTTTCTGTTTGTAGTGCCTCCCCTGTCACGTGTCCCTCTCCTCCATGCCTTTGCCATTTGTTCCGTGTCTAGACGTTAGATCAGATGTCCATCCCATTACGTGCATGCCCACGACTCCCGTGTCTCCTCCCCTCCCGATGCCTCCCAGCGAGAGACTGGGGCAGTGCCTGGCGTTGACCACACCTTTAGGGGGAGAGGGCTTGAGAGTTGATGGAGAGGGAAGTCCCCAGGTGACTCTCCGCCCAGTGAGTGAGGATGGGGGGGCCTCGGGCGGAGGCCCACCAGGAGAGGGGGTGATTCAGCCATTCTGCGAGATGGCAGTGTTCACGGAGGTGACAGATGTCCTTCCCACAGTCTTCTCTGTGCAACAGAACAGGGTTTCCTGATGGGGCTGACGGAAGATGTTAGTATTTAATTAGGGCCAGCCCGGAAGACAGGGGCCCTGCTTCCCCTAACTATCCAGGCTGGGAATTTGTGGGGCCCAGTAGGAAGATCACTGGCTGGGGAACCCTGTTCCGAGGCACCCACCATGGCCATGGCCAAGGATGAGCTAACCACAGGGTGCACTTGGAGAGAGGGTTCCTCACCATAGAAAGTATGGCCGCACCACACGCACACCTCGCCAGGTGGACTGTTGCCTGGTTTGTGCATTTTATTTGGGGAGGCGAGCCGTGGTCCGTGAATCCCTGTTTTGTTTGGGAAGCAGCGACTGCGAGGTAGACTTGGCCCTTTTTTTTATTATGGGTGAAAGTTCATCACTAACTTTGACGGGACGGACAACCCCTTCCTAGACACAGACAGCCCTTACCTAAAGCCATGAAAATTCCTCAGAGACTAGAATTTTCATGACATTTTTACCCAAAACAAAAACAGCCGAAGACCTTGGTAGCTGCTTCGTAAACGCAGCTTCGAGGGGCCAGCCGTCAGTGTGGTGGCCTGGCTGTGGGTGCCGAGGGGTCCTCGTCATTCCTGGGGTCCCTCCCGCCTCAGCACTGTCGGTGGGTCCTAGTGGCCACTATCCTCTGTGGGGGGCAGTGTTCGTACCCTAAAAGCTGTTAGCAGACACATTCCTGCTCCTTTTAGGGTGTAACTCCAAACTGGGATCAGGAAGAATTCTTTCTCTCCCAGTCAACCCATAAGAAGCTAAAAATGGATTTTTAAGAGGCCACTCCTTGATTAGAGATGGAGGCGGGGAGGTACGAGGAGGGATTTGTCCCTTTTTTCCTCAACTTTTCCCAGGATCTGGCTTAATGCTAAATCACTAGGACAAAATGTGTTTTTTAAAAAAGAGAAGTTGCAAAACGAGGCATTTTCCCGGCCCGTCAGAAGTGTGTGTGCTCACTGCCATTTGCTCAGCCACCTCCTAGGATAATACTCTGCCATTCATGTCTTCATGTGCCCGCGCATCCCCACACCACGCACGGAAACTCCCGTGGCACAGGGAGGGCGGGAGGGCCGGGGAGCACCAGAACTGCTCCTAGCTCTAGCCGGTCACGGCTCCTCGCTCCCTACACAGGGTTGTTTCTCATGTTATTTGACATTTGAGCACATTTTTAACAAGATTCTGTTTTGAGCCCACCAAGTTGCTTTTCCCATCTTTTCCTTCTGCCCTAATATAGCATGGAATGCTGCCTGATGTCCTTTATTTCCTGTTGTTTTTCCCCTTTCCCTCTCCCTTTCTTCTCTCTCTCATTTCTCCCTGTTGCTTTCTCCATGTTGCTTATGCCCTCCTACCCTCACCTCCTCCCCACTCCCATTTTAAAATGCATGGACATCTTAGTGTTTTGAGCATGTTTTGATCTGCAGGCGGAGGTGGTTTAAAGCTCTGATTGATAGGCGTATGTATTGATCTTGGGCTTCTGGGATGGAAGTAGAACCCACCCTCTATTTCAGTCTATCCCCGAGGAGAGAAAGGAACCGTGTCAATTTGAAGGTGATGAGGGGGACTGTCCCCCACACCCCCAGAGTTCCTTCCACCAGAGAGGAGTGGGTAGACCCTAAGGCCCCCTGCCCAGGGTCTTGGCCTCTGGGAGGCAGGGAAGACCAAGCATGTCCCTCCTATCCTCCCTACCCCACCTCCCATCGCTCCTCCTGCCATCTTGCTGAGTCCACACCCCCACACACAGGGCCATGATCAGACAGCCCTGGGCTCAGGCCCAAGAAGGAACTCATCACACCCCCTTCCTTTCGATGGCCAGGGACATCTGACAGTGGTTGCCTCAGCCAGGCAGCAGCCTCGTTGCTTTCCAGCGTGGAAAGCCAGCCGGCGCTCATACTTGTTTGCGGATGGAGTGTTCCCAGCCCTACAGTCGGTGCTACCTGACTAGGTTCTCCTTAGATCAGCTCCCCCCCTGCATCTGCATTGTTTTGATAGCATGATGGGGGTTGATCTCAGGGCCACCTTTGCTACCCAGTATTAGCCCATCAGACTGGGGTTCATAGTAGGAGAAGCGTAGAGGTCACAGGCCCAGTTTCTTGAATTGATTTCCCCAACCTTCGATGATAAGCAAGAGAGGCTCTGAAATTCTCATGCCGACCCCTTACATAAACAGGAAGTAGGAAAGGGAGATTCTGGTTTTGGTGCAGGGCAAGCAAAAAAATTAGCCTCCGTGGTTTAAACACCAATCGTGACAACCCAGACCCAGAAGGTCCATGCTGGGACCGACCCCTGGCACTTCTTGTCTCACTTCCTTGTGACCTGCTGCACCCTCCAGCTACCGGCCTCGGGGCGCCCCTCCATGCCATCCTCACTCTTTCCTTCCAGCCTTCTCACTCTGGGGTGAGGGAGGGGAAGACCCCAAATCTTAAAAAAAAAAATCAAGTCTGAATCATAATTTAATCCACAACCTGCAGGCCATACAACCAGTTATTCTTGTTCCTTTGGATCATTTTCTGTTTTTCTTATTCTTCCCCCTTCTCCACCTTCGTTGATCCTCTTCTACCTGTTTTTGGTGTTTTTTTGTTTTTGTTTCTTTATTTTCTGTTTTGTTTTTTTTTTTAATTTATTTTATTTATTTTACTTTGTTTTCTTTTTGTTTCCCCCTCCTCTCACCTGATTCTGACCTCTCTTGATTTGGTGTGGTTCTTAACAGACAAGCCCGACAGCTCTCTGGGCCCAGCAGCCTGGTGGTGGTGTGGTGGTGGTGGTGGTGGTGGTGGTGGTGTGTTGAGAACTTTAAGCCTCTTGCTAGTGCTGCCTTCAGCTCTATGGGCTCAGTAGTCAGCATTTTGAGAGTTTCATATTCATGTGAGGCACCTGGGAAGGGGCTCTGTCTTTCTCTGTACACACACACACACACACATTGGGGGGCGGGAGAGGGAAAGGGGGCGGGGATGGAAGGTCTGATGGGAGAGTGAGGGAATGCTTAAGCCCAAAGAGAAATGATAATTTATTAGTTCATCTCACTTTCTAGCAAATCGATGCCACCAGCTACAGGTGGCATCCAGTAGTTTGCTCAGACATTTGGGCAGGGGTGGGTCATGGGTGTTGAGTGGGGGTAGGGGCAGCAGGTAGGTAGGGAATTCCATACAATTAAATAGATTTTGTTCACCAGAGCAGACGGATGTGTGGGCAGTAGTTACGTGGGCACGGCACCTCGTGGAACTTTAATAGCGCTCTGGCCACGGGCGTGCCGCCTCCGTGGGGCAGCCGCTAGGTGACGTCGGCTTGACTCTCTCCCTTGGCACCTCTGCCTGTTATTCACAGAACCTCTCTCCCCTGTTTCTAGGAGAAAAAAAAAGTGCGTTCGCTACATACAAGGTGAAGGCAGCTGCCTCAGTCCACCCTCTTCAGATGGAAGCTTACTAGACTCGCCTCCTCCCTCCCCCAACCTGCTAGGCTCCCCTCCCCAAGACGCCAAGGCGCAGACTGAGCAGACGCAGCCTCTCTCGCTGTCCCTGAAGCCCGACCCCCTGGCCCACCTGTCCATGATGCCTCCGCCGCCCGCCCTCCTGCTTGCCGAGGCCGCCCATGGCAAGGCCCCTGCCCTCTGTCCCAACGGGGCCCTGGACCTGCCTCCCGCCGCTTTGCAGCCGCCCATCCTGCCCTCGTCATCTATTGCACAGCCGTCGACATCTTCCTTACATTCCCACAGCTCTCTGGCCGGGACCCAGCCCCAGCCGCTCTCCCTGGTAACCAAGTCTTTAGAATAGCTTTAGCTTCGTGAGCCCCGCTTGTTTTGTGTAGTGTTTCATTTTGCTTTCCTTCATTTCCTCCCCCCTTTTTGGAAGGTTTTGTTTTGTACTCTTAATTTTGTGCCACGTGGCTACATTAGTTAATGTTTATCGAGTTCATTGGTCAATATTTGACCCATTCTTATTTCAGTGTCTCCTTTTAAATATGTAGATGAGAGAAGAACCTCATGATTCTACCAAAATTTTTATCAACAGCTGTTTAAAGTCTTTGTAGCGTTTAAAAATATATATATATATACATAACTGTTATGTAGTTGGGATAGCTTAGTTTTAAAAGACTGATTAAAAAGCAAAAAGGAAAAAAAAAAAAGAAGCAATTTGGAAGCAGCCCTCCAGAAGGAGTTGGTTCTGTATTATTTGTATTAAATACGAGCTTGCGAACCAATCATTTTACATCTGGTTTTTAAACCACCAGGGCACGACGAATGCAGTGCCGCGAGTTTTTTTTCTTCTTCCGTGTGAAACAACTTTTATTGTGATGTTACTTGTTATTGTTTAAATGTACAGAAACAAAGGGTTAAAATGTGTTAATATACCTTGTTCCATGGTGTTGTTCTTTTGGGGGGGGAGGGGATGCTTCTCAACACTTAATGGCATCACAGCGCTGTTGGACCAGTAGTATTTATTGCTTTAGAGATTGCTCGTCGAACCCGTACGTCGTCCCTTTTAAAATATGTTTTCCTTTTTTCTTGAAACCGTGTAAAGTCTTTTTTCCCCCTTAGCATCAGCATCTTATATATAACAACTCATTTGTACAAGGTTTTTAAGTTTATATATAAAATGTGTATATATATTTTTTTGTTTGTTTCCATTTTCGACTTTTTTTTTTTTCTGTATGAAACCCAGATGCCGCCAAATGGACATGAATAGTTGCATTAAAGGATCAGTAGCATTAACAAAACTTGTTTTAAAAGCCATTATGTGAAACAAGACTTGAAAATTAGCGAGGGAATTTTAGCGACGCTGTTTGAGCAACGACGGGAACGTCCCTGTGTCCTCTTTGAGCTCACAGTCGAACGCCCTGCACCCCGAGGATGTGGACTGACTGCGGAACTTTATGTGCCAAAATTCTCAGAGACTTTAGCTTTCTCCCTCTTTTCGATGCTGTAATTTCCGTTCACCATGTTTTGCTGTGATGTTACATAGGTAGATCTGTGTGTAGTTTTAATGTCACCTATAACAAGATGTGTTTGGTAGCAGATTGTCCAGAAAAGCATTTTAAATGAAGAGGTATAAACCCTTAAGGGCCAAAATTCTGTATATTAGATTACTCTTAAAGGAGAAACCAGCTACCGCTTCTATGTACCCGTACGACATACGAGTAGGTAGCGAACTTTAAAAATAAACAAAACCTAGGCATGTTGATGTTGCAAAATGCTGTATAAAGCTGAAACCTGTTCATTCACAGTGCCATTGTAGTTGACATGAAGCGATTGTAAAACTGTCTCCGATTTTTCTCTGGTTTATTAAGATGCTAACGATAACATTTTTTTGTGTGTGAATACTTTGAATGTTTCCTAACAGTTGTGATGTTACTGTTCCGTTTTATGCTCTTATTCCAGTTTCATTTCTAATGGTTTGGAAGCCATTTTTGTAATGAATAAATGTTCATGCTGTACAGTATCTGTAGCATGCCGTGCTGGGTTAATAAAAGCAACTTAGTGTGTGCAGATGAAGGCTGGTCACGTGTGTCTGTGATTTGCATTTTGTCTCCGGGGAAACCGGATCTGCCTGCTGGAACCTGAGGTCCCGGGGCTGGTATGGGTGGTGGGTGGTGACTCAGGTACCAAGACGTGGTCTCGAACCCTTTCGAGGGTTTGATTCTCCCCTCCCTGTTTGGCATGTTCTGTCACCATAAGTTCATTTCTGAAAGCCAAGCACAGTTACAGACCACATGTCACCCTCTGGCTGTGAAACAGTCGCTCCTCTACAGCCCAGTTGTCTCTCACTCACGGTATCATTTTACATCCGTCCCCTTTAAGGACCATTGATGGGAATGTATCCTAAGTTCTTTCCATGAGTTGCGTGCAGGCAGGGGTGCCAGGGGTCAACTCGAAGCCCTTTTTCGGGCAGTGAGCGACTGTCGAGAAAGTTGGATTGAGATGGTTTACCTAAGGTTTGTGCAGAGGAATCTGTGGGACCCAAGTTCTTTGTCTGCCCTGGTCAGGGTGCAAGGTCGTTACCATCACCAATGGACCACGATGAAGAGCTGCCTAAGGCAGTGGTTCTCAACCTTGGCTGCACATTAGAATCACCTGGGAATCTTTTTAAAATCCTGATTTCTGGGTGGAATGAGGCCCAGAAATCAGGATTCTAAAAAGATTCCCAGGTGATTCTAATGTGCAGCCAAGGTTGAGAACCACTGGCCTAAGGTTTCTGTGGTGATCACTTCTCAGGCTGACCAGGAGGGACGATGTCCATGGTGCTCACTTCTAGAACCAGCAAACCTCCAGAGGAGTGACTTCTGGGCCATCAAGCTGTCCGTGTCGCCACTGTGGTCAGGCACGGTCACACAGTGTTGTCATCAGGAGCTTACAGTCCGTCCGAAGCTCTGCTCTCCGCCCACTAGTTCTGGTTTTGTGAATTCTCGGTATTTTGGTTTTGCTTTTAGCTCTGTATTCCCAGGAAGGAGTGATTCTGGGGTCCTGCCCCAATTTAGTTCGCACACTGACCCCCGAGTGACCTTCGAAAACACAGGTGAGAACAATATTTGCAGCAGCACGTGGTGTGGGAGCTGCCCCTGAGTTCGCTCGTTCCAGCCCCACACCTGAGGGGGTGTTATTCTCCCTCCGCCTTCTGCTCTATGCTCTGAACCCCGGTTTAGACATTCAGGGTTTGTGTCTTGTCCAAGGTCGCGGAGCATGAAGGGTGGTGGAGCTGGGATTTAAAGTCACCTCGGACTCCAAGCCTGTGCTCTCGACACAGGTGTGCCTCCTGCATAGTCAGCGTGGTCCTCCAACCGCGATGGGGCAGGCCTGAGCTTCGCCTGGCACCCCTCCTCCGCCCTGCACTCACTCCCTCTCTAGCCGGATGGAGGAGAGGTCCGCTTCCTCAAAGCATTTTCCTTTTCCACTTTCGAAGATGCCGTCTCCTCTGCCGGAAGGATCGGCTGTGCTCCTGCGCCTGCTCCCCGCTTCCTACATGGACACTCCTCGAGTCCTCAGGCCTCAGCAGAGACAGCGCCGTAGACAAGGGTGGGTGACATCTCCCCAGTATGCTCCACAGCTTTCTGCTGTCCCCTCCCTTTAAACTCTCCCCCACTGTCCTGTCATGTGGCACCACTCCGTGCTGTTGGCATTTTGCGCACAAAATTCTTAGTGGTGGGGGACTGTCTACGCATTGTAGGGTGTTAGCATCCCTGGCCTCTCCCCACTAGATGCCCTCCTCCCCCACTAGTCATGACACCCAGAAATGTCTAGACATTGCTGGGTGGCCCCTGGGGGACAAAAGTGCTTGTGGTTGGGAACCGTTGCTCAGAGAGCCCTCCAGGACAGGGCTGTGGCTTCTGTGTTCACTGCCCTGTACTAGGGTCCTGGTTCAGAGCCGTGAGCATAGGGGGTGCTCCATATATATTTGTTGAAGGAAGGAATGAACAAAGTTGGCCAACTCTACACCTGTATTGTGGGAAGAGGGGGATGGAAATTTCCCATAATGCTTTCAAATTTTGTGTTCTCGGGACTTCCAAGGTCAGTCACTTCCATAATCCTTTCAGCCATGCTGGAATGTAACTCAGTGCCCTTGTTACCAAGGCCCACCCCCCCCCCAAAAAAAAAACACACACAAAAAAAACAGGTGCGAGTGGGGTCGGTCCCTCAGCCAACAACTGGCATGCAGATCTCTCTAGAAGTCAAAATAGTAGACCACCTAGTCACATGCTTTCTGCCCTCCCGCCAACATCCGGTATACCTTAGAGACCTTCTTTAACCCTAATATGGATCTCCCCCCTCCCCCCAGCTTGTCTCATTGTCGGCAGACCAGGTTCCAGACTCCCAAATGGCAGCCCAAGCCCTTGCCCTTCAGCACCCCTGTGTCCATCAGTGTGGTTTCTAAAGCTTCGAGAGTTTGTTTTAAACTGAGCAGCTCCCTGTTGCACCCATGAAAAATGGGTCTGTGGGGTTTGGGGTACTGAGAAACCCCGAGACAACATGTAGGAGCCGTAACTCTCAGTCTCTGATCCACACATTACTGCCACGTGATGGGGCCTGACCAAGTCAGTTTGCCTGTTCGGAGAGAGTATTGGTTTCCTGTGGCTGCTGTAACAAATTAACACAAACTGCGTGGTTTCCATCAGCAGCTGTCACAGTTCTGGAGGCCAAAGTCCGGAAGCAGATGCGTCCTCCCTCCAGTCGTTCTAGAACCTCACCTGTTCCATGTCTCTTCTAGCTTCTGGGGTCTGCCTGCAATTCTGGGTGTGCCTCACCTTTTAGCCAAATCACTCAAATCCGTACCTCTAATGTCACATCACTGCCTTCTCTGTGTCTGTCCCCAAAGTCCCTCTCATAAGGATACATGTGATTGTATTTGGAGCCCACCTCGAGAACCCCGGACAAGCCACTATCTCAAGGTCATTAACTGAATCACATGTTTGGCCATATGAAATAATACCGGTTCTAGGATCAGGATGTGGGCATGTATTTTAGGGAGCCGCCTTTCAGCCCACGACAGAAGCGTTTGCCAATTCTGGGACAGGTGCAGTCTTGGCACAGGACCCTCCAGAATGGGCCGTGGGTGGGTGGTTTTGGAAAAGCCTGTGCGAAAGTGATGACTATAGTAGGTGGTTTTGCATTTTGGATAATAGCAGGTGCACTTGTATTGTTGTGATTTGGATGCGTATAGGGCAGTGATGGCGAACCTTTTGAGCTCGGCGTGTCAGCATTTTGAAAAACCCTAACTTAACTCTGGTGCCGTGTCACATATAGAATTTTTTTGATATTTGCAACCATAGTAAAACAAAGACATATTTTTGATATTTATTTTATATATTTAAATGCCATTCAACAAAGAAAAATCAACCAAAAAAATGAGTTCGCATGTCATACATCACTGATATAGGGTCAGGAGGAGCTTTCATCCGATCCAGGATTTGATGAGAGGAAGCACCTGGGAGCAATGCAGTGCACCTGAGCTTGGAGAATCCTCTGTCCTTGAGCGATTCCTTCATCTCTCTGAGCCTCTGTCTTTAGCAAGTGGCGACAGAGTCCTCGTTCTGAGAGATTCTTAGGAGGGCTAGAATGCAGAGACCTGGAATAGCAAATACTAAGTGTTTATTATTATCATAAAAGCAGCAGGCTGGTCACAACTGTGTTTTCCTCATTTCTCTTTGGACTAGTCCTGCTCTTGAAACTCAGGTTAGAGAACCACAGAGATCTCGACACATCCTCATTGTCAAGGGACCCTGGCCAGGGATTGTGGGACTCATCTACAGGCGTTCATCTTACCTGAAACTTCCTGGCCCTATGACAGTTTCTTCCACCTTTTGGGGAGCTGCAGCTCTGGCTGGGGTGCTTTTTTGTGGCGCATAAATGTGTTCTTAATTAAGGCCCTTTGGAAAGAAACGAAGGAATAGCCTAAACGTCTCTTGCGAGCGGGAATTACTGATAAGCAGGGCCTTAGGTTTGATTTTGTAAAGGAGTCCCATCTGGTGTCGGCTGCCTCAGCTCTCACTTCAGAGCAGGCCCAGCCTTCCTGGCACATGGCGATGGCCGGGGCCTGCAGGAGTCCTGGCATGGCCCTGGGGGCTGTGCGGGTGAACTCTGGCTCTGGAGCGAGTGGCTCCCTGAAGTTGGCACTGTGCGAGAACACTTGATAGGAGCTCTGAGTAGGCACATTGATTGACTGGTTGATTGGTTGATTACTCATGCATCCATTCAACAGCGATTTCTCTGACACATTTGCACCAGGGACTGTGCTCGGCACTGACACGAGGGTCCAGGGGAAGTCAGCTTGGTCTCCGTCCACCCTCACCCCGACCCCCACCCCACCCCCAGCTCAATCCTACACCATCCTTCAGGCTGGAGCCTTTAAGGAAATGGGCCACCACCATTCCTGAGGTCTGGGCAAGCTGCTCACCTGGGAAGGACTTTCCATCAGCATAATAACAGGAGGATGTGCTAAAAACTCCACCTGTGCTTCTCCTTTAATCCTCCTGGGGGGCAGAAGTGCTTTTATGTTCATTTTATAAATGTAGAAAGTCACGCTTAGGGAGGGTAAGTGGCTTTCTCAAAGGCGCATAGGTGGGGAGCACTGAGCCCAGGGTTTGAACCCAGGCAGCCTGGCTCGGGAGCCGGCATAGCTACACACGCAGGTCATCTGAGGCGCTGGCGGGAGATGCGCGGAGGAGGAGCTCATGTGATTCGTGGCCTTTGCTAAGGGACCAGGTGTTCTCTCTCCCAGTCTGGGCGCAGTTTTTTCTCATGCTGGTTTCTGTGCTCGCATTAACCATAAAGGCGGCTGATAATTACATGGATTGAGCTATTTTGGACTCAGCAGAAGTCGTAGAACCCTAGAATTGGAAGGAAATTAGAAGTAATGTGTATTCCAATATTGTACATACATATTATGTAGGTTTCTCAGGTTGATAAGTTCGGATCAAGATCAGCATTTAAAAAATATAGAATGGAATGATATAGAATCCATTGCTTTGCCCTCATTATATTTCAGCTTAAAGGAAGTCTCC